TAGATTTTTATTAAGGGCGTGGGAGAGAATGTTTGGAGTGGGAGGGTCTTCGCATGTGGGGGTAATATAATAAAAGGAAGCATTAAGAATAGGTGAGCATTAAGAAAATTGTATTATCCATAATGGGTTACGAACATACTATTGAGGTAACTTTCGAGTGTTGTGGTAAAAAGTATGAAGTAAGTGAGTATAAGATAAACCGACTGGGGTTAGCCATAAAGAAATGTAATTGTGAAAATATAAAAATTTACATATGGTCTGCTGTTTCTGAGGATTATGGATATCCAGCAGTCATAGCTGCTTATTGGCTACATGAACCCATTGATTTAGAGGTCCCAATCTTAATTACTAACCCAATTTGTTTTATGGAATTTGATGAATACTATCTTAATGAGGATGATGGTGAGCATGGTAATCAACTCAGCTGTGAAGTACCCAATAATGAATCAACCACATGGATTGTAGCATTGTCTGAAAATAAAAACGAATATAATTCTTGTGATGAGGACGATAGCATTATATGCAAATCTAAGGTATTATATGAAAAGGATGAAAAGCGTTTAATTGAAGAAATAGAAGAAAAAAATCAGGAGTCAATAAAAGAGTATGGTCAACCACTCTACTACCCGAAACGAAATATGTGTAATGATTCAGCATTATTATGTTTTACTGAATAAAAGAATATTTATTACTTAAATTTTTATTTAAAAAAAAATAAATACATATCATACTATATCATTTTTATTTATCCAAGCATTATGTGAACTATCCATTCCAAGAAATTTTACTCGAAGTTTATTCCCTTTTTTAGAAATAATTTTTTCTATTAGGAAAATATCAGGATATTTAACTTTTTGCAATTCTTCAGTATAGAAACCACCTTGAATTTCTTCTTTTTTTTCATCTTCCAATATGTAAGTAGTTGGATTTGTTAGTTTAACGTTTTTAACTTTAAAAATTTCATTGGTCCAATTTGGTGTATACCCTTTGGTGAAAACATGTCTATACTTGCTAATACGAACATAATCACCCTGCTTAAACTTAGGTTTACGTGGATCAATAGTTTTTAAATTATCATATGCGATTATATAATGTGCATTTTTATCATTGACTTTACTGGGTATAGCTCCTGTAGTTGAATGTCTTGTGTTGTTATATTTATTAACAATTTTAGATAGAATGTCTAACCACTTGTATGATCCTTGTAAACTAAACTCTTTCCACAATGATGCTTTAAGCGTCCTTATTACTCTCTCAGCTATACTAGCTTTTAAATTGGAAAAAGTGCTGTAATGATTAATGTCATATTTTCGCATAAGTTCTTGGAATTCCTTATTGTAAAATTCTTTTCCATTATCAGTCTGTAAATTTTTAGGAGGTTTCATTTGTGACAAAATTTGTGCCATACCTTGTGTAACATCTCTAGCGGTTTTTTTCTTGACGGGTATAGCCCATACAAATTTACTAAAAGCATTGATAACAACCAAAATATAATTATATCCTTTATTTACTTTAGAGTATGGTATCATTACAGCCAAATCAGCTTGGATTAAATCATTTAAACCTTTGACAATAACATGACGTCTCTTGTATTTTTTTCTAGCTGGTTTATGTAGCTCATTAACAACTTGAATCTTAGTCATTTTTTTCTAATGGACATTGAAAGACAAAATCAGCGCACATCTCATTTGGAGTTCCTAATTTAAACTCGATTTTATCACCTTTATTAATGTAAATCCCTGATAATTGATGATATTTATATGGCTTGGAATTTAATAAAATTTCGCCATCAGCACTATAGTGTTTACAACTTTCGATTTCACCTGATATGGGAAAAACAAAAGCAGTTCCTTGATTATCCAAAATATAAAACTCTTTATTATTCTTTATTCGTTTAACTCCTTTTAATCTGATAAAACATTTACTATGAAATGAAACTGCGTCGCAAATATAAAATGGAGAAGTAAGATTTAAAACATTGGTTTTATTACTTAAGAAATGACCACCAAACTTGTTGATTGGCATTGTTACACTGATAAAAATCTAATTATGTTTACACTATTATACCTCCTTCTCTTAACTCTTCAATGATTGATACAATCTCATTATTATTACCAGTATTTCCAGCGACTTGAGATGCTACTAGTAATTTAAGTCGATCAATTAACTCATTGTAATTATCAAAATATTTGTAATCAATGGGTTTATTTGAATATTGTAACATTCCTTTTCCAATTTTTTTACTCCTTGTCACTATTCCACTCAATAATGAAGATGGTATTGATGAAACTCTCCGTCTAAACGGTCCTGTTTCTAACTTTGGTTTAATAATAAAATTGTATTTATCCTTAATATCCCTAGAAAAATTTTTAATTGGTAAATCCGGATCATTATTTCTTTTAGCAGCATTGGTTCTTTTTATTATATCCACATATTCATCAACATCAGTTTGTTTATATGCAATCGGTTCTTTTAAAAAAAGTAATTCATAAAGCCCTGGTGTTCCAGGATATTTAATACCTTTTATTACAATATCCGAACCATCAAAGTTTAATTCAGAGTCTCCAATACGAAATTTTTCAGTTTCCATGTCATGGTAAATCCCCAAAACATGATCAAATTTATTTTCAATATCTGATATATTTCTAAGAATATAATCTCTAGGTAAAGGTGCAGTAAACTGATCCAGATATTCAACAAATGAAGGAGGTGGGTTTGTAGTTAAATCATGTAGACTTTTAATTGTATCTTCTATATATTCATCAACTTGCTCATCACTGGTTCTTGGCTGATATTCAAACGTTTGGTCTGGCTGATTTTCATAAATCTCTGATTCATTTAAACGAGTACTTTCATGTTCTGGAGCATGTTTAATTGTTTGACTTAATGGTGATGGAAAAGAAGAATATGCTATTTTAGTATAATCTTTTCGCGGAGGTTTACGCAAGAAACTGAACTTTTCTGATTTCGGTGTTAAATTTTCTTGTTTAATTATTTCTTGTTTCCCCAAAACTGAAACCAGTTGTTTAAGGGGATCTGTTATTGGTTGATATGTTTTTTCCAAATGAGTTTGTGATTTTGTTATATCACTTTTTAGACTTTTGTATTTCTTTTTCAAAGCTTGACGCGCTTTAATTAGTTGTTTCGCGACGCGCTCATCCATTTTAACTAAATTGTTCGATTACTAAATCTCTTTATATACGTATAAAAGTATCAAAATTTTTTCGATATTTAAATTGAGAATCTTTATCAATAGTAAGAAAATCATACTTTTTCTCCCAACAAAATGAGCATATATCTCTAAACTGTTTAAAAGACATATCTATATTAACATGATCATCGTAAATGTGTTTTAAATTAGTCATATCTTGTGGAAACACTATTAAAAGGTTCGAATTATCTCTTATCAATTGTTTGGGAATTGCACTATATGTCTGACAAATATAAAAACAATCTGTATGTTTATGTCTACCAAAACAAAAATAATTTTGAATAATCTTTTGATCACATGAAGCAACATCATCAAATATAATTAACGAATTTTCTTTAATTTCATTAGGTTGAGGTATATTTGTAGGTTCATTAAACTCTTCATAACCGATTTCTTTAATGGGTTGAACTAAATTTTTGAGGTATTTATATTTGGGCTGATGAAGACTTTTGGAATACACATATATATTTTCAAATCTTAATCCATTAGGGTGTTCAATTAATGAAAGCATACAATTTGTCTTCCCAGAGCCGCTAGGGCCAACAACTAAACATCTTTTAGAATCACCACCAAACAAATATCCATGCTTATTAAGTTTCTGATCATTAACAACTAAATCGTGATTTCTGACTGGTAGAGTCATGTGTTGTTTTTCAACCCTCATGTTAATGAATTCTGTTGAAGACTAAGGGTATATATAGTGGGGTCGTAGTATATAAATAACACAATGGTTAAGCACCAACAACGGAGTTCACATCGAAAAGGAAAAGGTTTACTAAATTCTTTGATAAACAAACTACCAATTGAATTACATATTCCGGGATATTCCTACTGTGGCCCCGCCACTCAGCTTGATAAGAGATTACAAAGAGGTGATAAAGGTATAAATCAATTAGACGAAGCCTGTAAAGAACACGATATAGCATATTCACAAAATACAGATCTCAAAACTAGACACCAAGCAGATAAAATATTACAACATAGAGCTTGGGAGAGAGTTAATTCTAAAGACGCTAAGTTAGGTGAAAAAACAGCTGCATGGTTTGTGACAACTGCGATGAAAGGTAAACGAAAATTTGGAATGGGTATAAGAAAACGAGTAAAAAAAACTAAAAAAAGAATAATTCGAACACCGAAAAAAGGTGGATTTTTACCTTTATTAATCCCTATTATATCTGCGTTGGCAGGGTTGGGAGGTATGGGTGCTGGAATTGCCAAGGCTGTAAATGATGCTAAAACAAATCGGCAACAACTTGAAGAGCAAAAACGCCACAATTTAGAAATGGAAACTAAAGGAAAAGGTTTATATTTAAGACCTTATAAAGGAAAAGGCTTGCGATCAAAAAGAAAATATAAAAAAAAATCAAAAAAGTCAAAAAACTGATACTACCACAGCGAGCACTTACAAACATTGATTTAAAAAAAATTGTAAAAATATTAAAAATACCTCACTTTAGAGGAGTGTTTATGAGAGATTCATTACCACATAGAATCCATAAAAATGAATCAGGTATTTTAAATATGGATTCAAGTAAAGGACCTGGAACACACTGGACTGCGTATACCAAACAAAATAGGAATATTGTATATTTTGATAGTTTTGGAAATTTATCACCTCCATTAGAACTAATCAAATATTTTCATAGTAATGGTGATGTGAATATAATTTATAATTATGATAGAGTTCAGAAAAATTCTTATAAATGTGGTCATTATTGTTTAGGTTTCCTATATAATCAATATAATTTAAATAATTTTTCATTATAATAGATTTCTTGGTTGAGTAAATATGGCTTTCTCATTTACACTGACTGGTAATTCTTCAATTTTAAGTTATGATTTGAACCCTGCAATTTATTTGGAAGAGAATATTGATTATGAAATAGGGTTAGTTAGTTTTAACAGTTTTAACACAATTCCAAATATTGATGAAAGCAATAATTTATTTGTATGGGGTGACAGAAAGAAACTTAATACATTTAAAGTACAAGTTGGTGCTTATGAATTGGAAGAACTCATACATGTTTTAAAAAAACATATGCATAACGTAGATGAAAATGCTCAAATAGATATCATTCCAGACATTAATACATCAAACATTTCTATATCAAGTAATCGTATTATTTCTTTTAATAACCCTAATTCGATTGCAAAAGTATTTGGTTTCGATAGCAAAAGGCTTGACCCAGGTAAAACTTATACATCAAATCATCCCATTAAAATTTTAAAGGTAAATTCTATAGGTATTGACTGTAGTATTGCTGCTGGTTCATATTTAAATGGAAAACCGGTTCATATTATACATCAATTTTTTCCGACTGTTCCCAGTGGGTATAAAATAGTGGAGTCACCTCAAAATATTTTATATTATCCCGTAAGCGTCAAGACGATCAACAACCTTACTGTTAAAATTATTGATCAAACCGGAGATCTGATAAATTTTCGAGAAGAAGAGATTACGGTTACTCTTCATATTAGAAAAGTATAATGGTTTTAAAATTTTCCCACCCATATAAAAACTATATAAGATTACAAAATCAGAAAAGAACTATTAGTATCGCGAAACCAAGAGCGGTAATAACATCTAGTAATAAAAAGTTTTTAACTTCTCTAGGATTTAAAGTCTTAATATAATGGATATTCTTAATGTAACAGGTCAATATATGAATGATACCAGTATTGAAGAATGTCAATTTCATAATTATCAACCATTTATTCCTGGTAAATTAAATTACAACGATGAAATTAGAATCCCCATTCAAGAGCTTGATTCTTATACATTACCATCACAAAGTTTTTTATATATTGAAGGAAAGTTATTAACTGATGCAGGAAATGTACCAACTAAACTAAAATTTATTAACAACGCGATAGCATTTTTATTTCGTGAGCTACGTTATGAATTAAATGGGGTCGTAATAGATTCCGTAAGAGACCTGGGTTTGACTTCAACAATAAAAAATTATTTAAGTCTTAATGAAAACGAAAATGTACTAATGCAAAATGCTGGGTGGTATCCTAAGGAAATAAAAACAATTGTGACAGATTCTAAAGGTGTTACGACTGTAGAAACTGAAAAAATATTAGTAAATAAAAATGGGAACTTTAATGTTTGCATACCATTAAAAATGTTATCAGGTTTTTTTGAAGACTATAAAAAAATAATTTTAAATATGAAACAAGAACTAGTATTAATTCGATCAAGTGATGACATCGATAGTGTAATAAGTCCCGATAAAACTGAAAATCCAAAAATTGAATTAAATCGATTATATTGGTCAGTACCACACATAAAACCTAGCTTAAGTCAACAACTTCGACTAACTAATATTAGTAAAAGCAATAAAGAATTACCAATTAAATTTCGATCTTGGCAAATGATACAATATCCATCCTTAAGTTCTTCAAAATTAAATACATGGGTAGTGAAAACAAGTTCAAAGGTAGAGACACCGAGACATGTAATTATAGGTTTTCAAAAAAATAGGAAAAGTCAAATATTAAGCGACATGAGTAAGTTTGATCATTGCAAACTTAACAATATCAGAGTATTTTTAAATTCGGAAAGATATCCATATAATGATTTAAACTTGGATTTTGATAATAATAAATTTGCCACTTTGTACGAAATGTTTGCAAATTTTCAAGAAAGCTATTATGATCTTCATCTGAATCAACCAATATATAACCCCATCGATTTTAAAAATAATGCGCCGTTAATTCATATTGACTGTTCAAGACAAAAAGAAGTTTTACAGGCTGGTAGTATTGTATTAAGAATTGAATTTGAAACGAATGAACCAACATCGGCAGATATTTCAGCATATTGTCTTATTCTTCATGAGAAACAATTTTCATATAATCCAACAACCAAGATTGTTAAACAGCAATAATGCGCATGTGTAAATATAGATATAAAACCCCACCGCAAATATGTAATTCATTTAATATGACCTTTGAACAAAGACTTGATAGTCATTTGCGTGATTTAAGGAAGCTTCAACAAGATATCGATTTCTATAAACAACTGAAAAATATTATCAAACAATTTCAAAAATTAAAACTATGAGAAGGCTTGTTGTGGATATACAGGGATTTAAACTGGAAAACAATAAATTTCTGGTAAAGGAACTTGCTGCTTTCGATGGTATTCGCATATGCCATTACGTGTTCAAACCACCATTCCCTCTAAGATTACTCTCTCCTAATCTACACCGTCAAGCAATCTGGTTAATGAATAATTACCATTATATTGATTGGGATGTCGGCTTCACACCAGTGCATCAATTTGGTAATATCCTAAAATTTTTATCAGAAAGAGCTGATATGATTTACGTTAAAGGTATGGAAAAAGCAAATTACATTAAAAAATATTCCCAAACACCAGTTTAACCATCCAGTGTTCCAGACATTGCTTTGGGAGTGGTAAGTAGATGACCCCACGCCAGAGTGTTAACATCGTGTGGTATGATATATCTCTTATCATCATTAGCTGAAAGGGCAACTTTATTTCTAAGTTCGGTGTAGATTGTATGTAGTGATGATACAAAGACATACATTTTCCTATATACTGTTTCACCATTTTGCACTATGTTAATATAATCATTTAAGTGTAATTGGTTTTTCACTACATTTGTTGAGATTCCTTTAGCTTTTTTTATTTCTGTCATCTTCTTAAACGGTTTACCTAATTTTACACAGTATACCTTGGCACAACTTCCATAAAATTCAGATATAGGTATACCACCGAATTCATCTTTCATTTTGCCAACAACAGATTTTGTTATAGGAATTGCATATTCATTATTATTGGAAAAATTTGAAGTATCAAAATGTGTAATATTTTGTTTTATATCCTCATAAAAGTTACTCGTAAACACTTCTAAAATTAACGAATCGGTATCAGTATAACACAACTTTGCAGAGTCGCCATACTTTTGTTTAATGTAACCATAAAAAAATTCATATATTATGGTTTTTGAAATATCCAACACTGAGAATCCAACATACATAGGCTTATCATAATATACTTTAACATTACTTAAATGGATAGCAACTAAATTTTCATTAAATACGGAACATGTCTTAAATTCAGGTTTTGCTATTAGTGTCCTCGCACCTATGGAACCTCTAGTATTTTCCCAATGGGTGGAAAGATGAATTGTTTTACGCTTCTCCACATTTTCCATGGTCTTTCCGAAGATCGCATTGATAAGTAGCTTAAAGAGCTCTCTTTCAAAGTCATTTTTTGCCCCATTCCGAAGAATTGTGTTTAAATCGATATACTTTTTTAACCATGGTGCTTGAGAAAATTCTATAATTCTATGAATTTTTGTTAATTTTAAGCCATATTTAAGACATTGCTTCAAGTTTCTGTAATGAATAATATACTTTTCTTTATTATGTAAGTTTGGTATCAACTTCGGGTTTTTACCGGTTGGTGGTATTATATTTTCAGGACAAAATGGTAGATCGTTGTGGCTGTGGTGCAGGTTGATTGGATATTCTAAATCTACTTCTAATACATACCCTTTAGAAGCATCATCTTTTACTGAAGAAAAATCAAAGCTATCTACAGGTATCCATTTAAAATCACCAAAAGGAAGTGGTTCACTCATTGCAGCCCCGTATAAATTTGTCGCGTCTAAATACATGATATAACTTTCTGGTTTTAAGGGATTAAAATTTGGTAAAAATTTGTTATTGGCTACCGCTTGTCTCTTACTACATTGGGCTACTCCTCCTCGGATTCCTTTTTTGAAAAAGAGTAGCATGTCAATATCTGTCAATAATTCCAACTCGATTTTCGTATACTTCAGCATGGCATCCCAACTTAGCGAAGGTGCTGTCAAGTAGTGAGCAGGATCGAGTTTATATTGTTTTAAACAAATTTTTCTAAAATTTTCAAACACATCAGCTAACAAAAGCACATCAGTTTTTAAGTATAACATTGCATAATCGTTTAGAGTTTTACATTTAAAAGTATCCCATACTTCTTTAGCTTTATCATAGTCTTCATCAGAAACCGACTCACCCTTTAAATTATCAAAAAAATTCTCTTTCGAAGGTAATCCTTTTTCATCCAGTTTTTCAAAGCTATCCACATAACAATAAGGAAAAACACCTTTGCGTCGCATTAAATTAAACTCTTTTTCGTCCGGGTAATATTTTCTAACTTCATTGCATTGGTTGGAATCCAAAGTTTCACTGAGTTTATCAAGAGATCGCGTCAAAAATCTAAAAGAGTCTACAAATCGAAGTTTTATAAATGAATCCCGTACCTTAGGATTGGTAGATTTTTCAACCATGATAGATTTGGAAAAAGATATGTATTTCTCCTTTGTTTGAGCTAATACTGAGACAGATTCCTTTTTAGTTGTCAACTCCTTGATAAACAAATGACTGTCATAGTTGGTAAGATTATGAAAAAACACTGGTATAAATGATGGTAGTTTATAATTCAAATTGCATGAATTATGGACTGGGGAACGATACTTTGAGCTCAAGTGGCAGTGATCCCGAACTTTTTTATTAAAAGCGTTAAAAGGTCTTTCACATATGTGACAGATTTTGGCATTATCATATGCTTCCTGTTCTTCAGGGGTAAGTGGTTGCATAGGCTTTACATGCTTTAAATGGTTATTGTATAGGTCATGAACCACCTTATCAAGTTTTTGCATAAACACTTTGGCGGCATCCGGCCCTTTGTACATCTCAAGTTTGGATAAACTATCATCATAATTACATTTGATGTAGAAGGCGAAAGAATATGGCTCATGTTCACATACTTTAACACTAAAAGATTTACTATTGAGAGGTTCGCAATTGTCTATTGGTTTCAACAACGATTCAAAGTCTGCATAAATTACAAACGGAACTTGTAGTTGTTTTTCAAAGTTTACGAATTTTAAAATATTTTCAGGAACGAATTCACCACATTTATTTTTTTTTATTTCATTAGTTGGAAGTTCGGTATATATATGTGTACAGTCAAATTCTTCGTGAGCTTTTAGCTTTTCTATATTTACAAAAGACTGTAAGCAACCATCACATATATGTATTTTTTCTTTATGTTTTGTTTTCTGACTTCTAACAAGTTTTGACAAGTCTGTAATAAGACAATAATGGTTATTATTATTATTATCTGATATAAGTAGTAGATTTACATGAGTAGATTGACGCTTGGAAGTAAAATGTAATGGTCCAACAATTTCATAATTGTTTTTCCCCTCTCGGAAATATAACTCGAGTCCAAACACGTTTACTGATATGTTATTCATAGCTTCGAATCTTGTAATGTCTTTTAATTTCATTGGAAAATCAATTCCGCTAAAGTTTAATAAGGTATTGTAATGAGGATATGAAGATGGATTCTTAGGATCTCCCACAGCTCCAAAAATTGCAGCATTTATTGACCATGCAAAACAAGCATTATCTTTGTTTTCAATGTTTAAAATAGCATTTCTTTTTATTATCGGTATAGGCAACTTGATGTATGATGAAGCAGAAATACTATTGAAACGGTTTATATTAACATCTAAAAACATTATTTCTTGTAAGCTCCAGTTCGAGTCTCGTTCTTGGAAGTCGTTTGCTTGACAAAAAATTTCCTCCTTGAATTCGTCATACATTTCATCGAGATTTGATGTTGCGGTAATGATTTTGTTTGCCGTATTCATAGATTTAATATCGCTCATTTCCTTGTCGGGTTTAACATAGATTCCAAACACTTCCATATTTACTTTTAAGCAAGTATGAAGTTGCTGGTATTCACTGATTTTATTTATAACATTTGGTTTGATATGATTTAAAAAATCAATATAATTGAGCTTGTTTGAATTGGTACTAGAAAATCTGTATGAAGCAATGCGGTTTTTAAATGCATGGGATAGTTTAGTAACACCATTATGTAGTACTTCAGCACCAATTGGTTTCAGTCTTTTTTTCGGAATCGGACACGAAATTTCACTGTATGCACAATTTTTGAGTTTGTGACGCTTCAAATTATTAACATTGAAGAATGACTTTTTACACTTATCACACTGCATGTCGCTTACTCGAAATATACTATAAAACTAGAGAACTCAATGAATGACTCAGGTTAAATAGGATGTTATTATGTAATTAAAATAAACTGGTTAGTTTTGTATGTGTACAAGTTTGAGGATATGGGTAGCAGGTAAACAAAGGGTCATTAGTTAGCTTGCAATGTAGTTTAACCAGTTAATTCAAGGTCTTGTAAATGTATCTTATCAGACCGGTATAGTTTATTATGTGATTTAAATAAACCGGTTAGTCTTGTATGTGTACAAGTTTGAGGATATAGGTAGCAGGTAAACAGAGAGTCATTAGTTAGCTTGGAATGTAGTTTAACCAGTTAATTCAAGGTCTTGAAAAATGTATCTTATCAGACCGGTATAGTTTATTATTCGATTTAAATAAACCGGCTAGTCTTGTGTGTGTACAAGCAGGTAAACAAAGGGTCATTAGTTAACTTGAAATGTAGTTTGACCAGTTAATTCAAGGTCTTGTGAATGTGTCTTATCAGATCAATTTGGGTGGAATTTAGAGAATATTACTGGTTATATGAAAAGTAGTAGGATTTTCTATTATATAAGATCACTATTGGGGGTACACATATTCATTTAACACTATATCTAAAACATTTTGCAATGGATAACGATTCTGATACGATGTCAATCTCTGAAGAAGATTCTATGTCTGACGATGGAATAGAATCAGACTATTCACGTTCAACTATAGAAGTAAATCTATCAGATTATGAAGATTTTGAGGTGTTATCGTTGGATGGTGGAGAATTTGAGTATAAAATTAACGATAAACAGTTAGTTAATAATTTGAAGTGGATATGTTATGAGCGTGAAAAACCATGTTGCGTTGTGCAGTGTTTCTATCAAGTTACAAACATTAAACTGTGTAATTTTTGTTTTTACCAAGTAATGGTGAATTTTGAAGAAAATGTAAACCCACACCACATTAATCAGCATTTTACTGGTAGTGTAGACTCAATTTTAAACAATTTATACTTGTGTGAATCTTGTAAAGTATCATTATATGTAATGTGCTTAGCACAGTATTGTGTAACCTGTAATAATGTATCATTATAAAAAATATTTTTTTTAATAATTCTTTTTTATTATCATACCCATATTCCGAATTTTATAGATTATTATTTGTTTTAAAGAAATAAGACAGCTTTTCTATTAGTTTAATTGTCTTTAAATAAAATATTTAGACATCGGAAACAAATTCAGTTATTATTTAAGGGTTCGTTTTTTGAAAAACGCTCGGATACGTCGACTTTTATTTTTAAATGTGGTTTTTTTAATAGAAAATTTATATATACAGGGTGATCCAAAAAATAAAAAACGACCACCATCATCATTTTTAAATTTAAATCCCTATTAAGATTAAGTGTATTACATAAATAATTTAAAGCAAAATTCACAAATGAAAAAAAAATACATATTTTTATTTAAAAAATAATAGTGATGGTCGTTATTTTATTTTTGGATCACCCTGTATGTATAAATTTTCTATTAAAAAAAACCACATTTAAAAATAAAAGTCGACGTGTCCGAGCGTTTTTTCAAAAAACGAACCCTTAAATAATAAATAAATTTATTTCAACCCGCACATCCTTACCGATGTATTTTCAATTTTTGGCAGTACCTCTCATACTATTTTTATATTAATAGGAAGCGTAAGCTAGACTAGCCTGCGGCGTCGATTTTAAATGGTAATATCTCCTTCGAAATAGCCAGTAGACTGAAAATTTATAGAATAGTATCGTAGTACGTGTATAAGGTGTGCGTTTAATATGTTTTATTTGTTTCGCCGTGATTCTTTAAACAATTACTGGATTTTAAACTATAAGTAAGTACCTTTTTTGCTTTAAACTTGTAATTACGCGTATACTATAATTATATAATTGTATTTAATAGAGATTTTTTCAGTAAATAACATTTCTATTTAGAATTTAAAATAATTTATTCTAGAAAAAAATGATATTTACTGGAAACAATCTTTATTCGAAATTAATTTTTTAAAAACAGTAAATAATTGTTTTTATTTACACTACTACCCACACATTGCTCTCTAAAAAACAACAATTACTATTTTAATTATATTTTATTAGTTTCTTATATGTATAGGCATTTTACAGAGAATATATAATAATAATAATCTCACAAATAATATGTACAAAGGGAAAATAACAAATAATAACTTCTAATTACATACACATCGAGCAATGGGGGACGTTCGCAGAATCGTAGTTAAGTGACGCTCTTCCACGCTTCTTTATATTAATAATTAGACTATTAAGTGTAAAATGTATAATGAATAATAAATTATAACTACCTCTTTTAAAAATATCTAATACTAAAGAGAATAATAATACTTTTATACAAGTAGCTAAAGTTTCTCTTGCAATAACTTTTAAATAATATAATTTTATAAAAATCAACAGAAAATTTATTCTAATAAATTTACTTTTGATGCCTTACCAATTATATCATCTAATGAAGAAATTGCAAGAGTCACTTTAGATATCTTTCTTTGATATTTCTGTAGTTTTAAAAGCAGAGACGCTCGTTTTAATTTTTTTTTTTCGACAATTTGTTTAGATTCACTTATGAATTTTTGTAATTTTACTAAATATTCTTCCGTCGTTTTCTTTTCTAGTACTAAATCCTGCTCTTCACAGAAAGTTTCGTCTAGCGTAGATGTTTCGTGAATGTCTTTTTCTTCTTGTTCCTCTTCTTCTTCTTCTTCTTCTTCTTCTTCTTCTTCTTCTTCTTCTTCTTCATCCGATGAGGGAATGTCACTAAATGCCTCCTCTTTGATGATTTTTAAATTTTTCCCCCTTGACGTCGGCGTCGAGTTACAAGGGTGTGAATACTGTGTTGACCTTAATACGCCTGATGTTGACGGTTTTACCTTGGATGTATTATTTCCTGTTATAATAATACATTTAGTTGTACCAATCGGTAAAACTTTGCTAAAACTACCATCTGTCACTTCTATATCGGAATCATCTTTCGATAAAGTTATATTCTGTAAAATGTTTGCTTTCATTTTAAAATAATACGGTGTTAATAAAGTTTAAAGTTAAAGCCTATCTTTTAAATGAATTCAAAATGTATCCCTCCATTCAAACAACTTTTTTATCAACCAATAAGAGTTGCTTTCATCCCTTCTATATTAGGTCAATAAGAATGTGCCCATCCCACGAGCAACGTGAAATCTAATTTTTCAAGCACCGCTCTAATAAAAAAGAAATGGCATAAAAAGAACTAATTTTTCATGTCACTTTTTGTTAAATTATTACACCACTTAAGTATTCAGTATAAATAGCTTGATTAGCATATTGAGAAACATAAATTAAATACCTTAATTGTTATTATCCACAGGTAGATAATCAGAGACGGTCTCGACCTCAAAATTATTTAAATTAGTTCAACAATATATGTGTTGTATTAATTTTATTTTTGGAAATAAATTTATAATAAAAAAGTGGATTAGATGTTCGACACAAACAGATTAAACCACTTAAGTATTCAGTATAAATAAGATGCTTGCCATATTGAAAACATAAATTATGTATTATTATTAGGTGAATGATCAGAGATGGTCTCGACCTCAAAATTATTTAAATTAGTTCACAACGTCCGACAATATATGTTACATTTAATTTATTTTTGGAAATATATAGATGTTTGTGTTGGTCTCTGTCAGGTATGAAATTATTTAAATTAATTCGTAACGTCTAACAATGTGTATTAATTTTATTTTAAGAAATAAATTTATAATAAAAAAGGAGATTAGATGTTCGATACAAACAGATTAAACCACTTTAGTATTCAGTATAAATGAGTCGCTTATTGTATTGAAAACATAAATTATGCATTATTATCAGGTGAATGATCAGGGATGGTCTCGACCTTAAAATTATTTAAATTAGATCACTATATGCAGAAATACGTGTGTTGCACCTTCATTAATTTCAGGAAATAAATTTATAACAAAAAAAGTAAACATGTACCATGTAAAACTGATAATTAATGGGTATATTTCGACGAAATATAACTTTGTTTACGTTTGAGATAAATACCTTTGAATAAAATTATTTAAATTCATTGACCTAGGAATTATTTTAGATCCTTAATTAACTTTCAATTATTATACGAATTACTTATCTATGTAATTAGAAGAGAAAATGGGGTTTATAGAAAAATAGCTTCAAATTTATCTCAGTAAAGTAGAAATCTTATTTAGAATATATATTTAACTTTTATATGCTGCTTTTATTTTCATGTAATAAGGAGGAAGTAAATATTTACAAAACTATTTACGTTAACGTGATTAGGAGGTGAGTTTTGTAATACCAGTCATCTCCTCACATCTCCCAAAATTCTTTTTTAATTCTCCATCGCATCCTTGTGATCATCCATCACAATACAATCACATCGCTTAAAAGTAGGTTTTTCCTTATTTTATTAAACAGAATGGGGTTATATGCATACATTAAAGTTGACGGGGTATTCTTAGATGCTTATGATTGTATGGGATATTTCTATAAGGAATATATGAGAAACGAATTAAATACATTTCCAAGAATAAGGATTTACTCAAAGGTTGAGAGACGATATAATGAATCTTTAGACCTCGTAATCAAAATACATGAAAAATATGTATTGTGTAAACCTAATGAATGTAATGATAATTGTGACAAATGTGTAAAGGATGAAAACACTCAATACCGATGTTTTAATGAGGTTGATGTAATAAGTGATAAAATTGATTTAAATGATTATGTTAATGATATATGTAATAAACTTATTGTAACAATTAAATTAAAATATGCATATATGTTTGTTTTTGAATTATTTGAATAAACTTGCTCAGACTTGTTTAAGCCTTAACATTACCTTCTCATATAACCAGATAATTTAGTCATTTTTCTTAATCATTACCTCCCCCATCGCTTTTTTGAGCCCCCCATCGCAATATAATCGCATCCTTTTGATTCCTCATCGCAATACAATCGCATCCTTTTGATTCCTCATCGCAATACAATCGCATCCTTTTGAGCCCCCATCGCAATACCATACCATCCTTTTGACTTCCCATCGCAATACCATAGCATCATTTTGACTCCCCATCGCAATACCATACCATCCTTTTGACTCCCCATCGCAATACCATAGCATCCTTTTGACTCCCCATCGCAATACCATAGCATCCTTTTGACTCCCCATCGCAATACCATAGCATCCTTTTGACTCCCCATGGGGCTGCATCCTTTTGGTCCCCCATTTTTCCTCTACTCATACGAAACCTATTAACTCCATTTAAAGATAAGGGTGAATTATCAAGACGACAAAGGAATTATAATACTAAGTTATGTTTAAATAGATACATAGTAGAACACTGTATTAGGATATTGAAACAACGATTTCGACAACTGTACCATATTAAATTAAGATCCATTCCTGATATTACTAACTTCATAAAAGCATGTTGTGTATTGCACAATTTGGCAATGGAAGAGGAAAATCAATTGGAGCAGCTGGGTGAAGTAAATGTCGATGAGGAAAAACAAGAAGTACACAACATGTTTTATTATGAACAGGACGGTATTGACAGAAATGGTAACGAAAAAATAAATAAAGTGGTAAATATTTTGCCATTTTAACATGTAAATAACGTAATTATAAAATAAACATAAATACATAGTAATATTTTTTTTATTTCACGAAAATTATTAAATATAAAATGAACAACAAAATAAAGGATCGATCGAACATGAATACTCAAAATTTTTATTCTACACATTTGGAATACTAATATTGTTTTGTACAAAAAGTTTTAAAACATCGGTTCTTTCTTTATACGCAGCCACTTCTTCTTGTTTAGCTAATAATTTTTTATTTTCCACTTCCATCTTTTTTTTCAATTTTTCTTTTTTAAATGCCAATTTTTCCTTTTCTGTGTTTACTATTTCATTATAATATTTTTTTTTTAAATTTTTGCATATCCTCTGATGATTTCTTATCATGAGGAATAGTTCTTTTTCTTTTTTGATATCTAAGAACAATATTAGGATTATCCATAATATTATTCTTTGTCTCTGGTGCTTCTTCAAGAGGAAGTGGTTGATTTTCTTTGAGAACACTTACTGTTTCTGTAGATAAAAGCAGCTCCGGATTTATATTGCTTTTTTACAAAAAATCTCTTTCAAATATTCAAAATGTTTTCTACCTCCACCAGTTTGCTTTGTGGAATCAATATATTTTTGTAGTTTCTTTCAACCACTCTCCACTTATTTTCGCAATGGGAAGGTAGAAAATTACATTTATATGTCTTATTAATCTCTACACATATAACTTCCCACATCTTTTTTAAATTTCGTACTTCTAGCGTCCCTACTCGTTTCCTATTAATTTTGTAATCTATTAATTTTAGGGTTTGGTTGTGAGACCAAATAGCAGTTTGTACAATTGGGGTATTAGTTATACAGGTAAATAGTTGTGACTCTGTCGTAGCAGTACTTGTAGAAGGTTGTGGCTCTGTCGTGGCAGTACTTGTAGAGGGTTGCTCCGTGTATATTCGTTGCAATTGAGAACTTCCCAATTCAAGCTTTGCCTGTGTCCTCGGATTTAGTATAATGTATTTTTTTGAATCTAAAAATATATGTAAAATTAATTAAATGAAATGTAAGAATCAAATTTTCCTTTTACCTCCCATATTTTTACGTAGATATCTTTCTCTTTTAAAACAAAACCATTAACAAAAAACACAAATGCAGCACAAATGGTAAAATGACAATGACAGAAGAAAGGATTTTTTAGGTTAGTTAGAAATTTCTTTGCTCGCGTTCGTGCAAATCTCACACTGTTGCAAACTTGCTGCTCGAACAAACCTATAGTTCGACAAGTACTATCTGTTATTTGTAAGAAGATGACTGATAGTTATGCCTACTCCTACAGAAAATCAACACAAAAAATGTCATAGAGTTTTACAGACGCTGGAATTTCCCCAATTATTGTTCCCCCAAATACAGGGTCGCTACATTTTAATTATAGAGTACTATTCTGTCGTTTTGTTAGCTCTTGTCGATACTGACTAAGTTTCTAGCCATTGATGTAGGAGCCTATGGTGGCGAAGGAGCTGCTGGAGTGTATAGTAAATCTAATTTTGGTAAAACAAATGCTGCAGGTAGCTTCAATCTTCCGCCGCATGCTCTTCTTCCAAACACAACTATTGTACAGCCTCATGTCATCCTTGGAGACGGGTGTAGCCAGGATTTAATATCGGGAGGGGGGGCGTCAAGAAAATAAAATTATTAAAGTACATGAAATAATCACATTATTCATATGAAAAAATGAAAGATTTAAAAAAACAAAAGGTTCATTTGATTACATACGCGTTACAAAATTAATCTTTTGTTTTTATTTTGAAATATATCTACTACTTTATTCGCATCATATTCTATCCCATAGTGAATATTCATGAGAGCCAAGCCGTTCAATCTGTTTTCACTCGTTGTGTTCTGCAAGTAGTTTCTAAGTCTCCTTATGCTTAAAAAAGTTCTTTCTGGGGTAGCAGTGGAAACAGCCAATATTTGTAAAAATGTATAAATACTTGGTTATAGTTTTTGATCGCACTTATCTAAGCATTCCAAAGCAGATTTTGGAGTAGGGGAGGTGTTAGTCATAGCTGCTTTCCACACTTCAAGTTCTGCTTTGTCGACAAATGTACTTCTTTCGGACAGCACTGCCGAATGCATACAAATTGCTTCTTCAATTTCAGAACTGACTACAAAATTTGAAGGTATCACACCAGATAGTGCCGATATTACTTTACGGTGTTTCGTAAACCTTTCAACTAATTGTTGAATTGTATGTTCTAGAAATGGAATGATTAAATGTAGTATGACAAAGTGGATAATAAAGCACGTAAGGTTATGGTGAAAATCCGTTTATTATCGGAACAAGAAACTGACATATATAACTAAGAAACGAATGAACTGATATAATGTAATGAATGTTTATATTGTTTATTCGCGTATGAGTAGAAGGATTGTCTTGTATGTACTCACTGAATGACCTTCTGTAATATGTGTAAGTTAAAACCAAGTTTGTATGCATGTGTGTAAGAAATGCGAGTATCCGAGTTATCTACCGTCTTATTAGTCGATCGCGCTTGACAAACAAGCAAGCTTGCTTATCAAAATCACTCCAAATTGATTAGGTACATCATCAGTTTGTTGCTGTGACTGAGAACCATCAAGGTAGTACTCATTTCTAAATTTTTGAACCTATGTTGGATACTTTTGAATATGTCCTGCACTATTGTTTTTGTTTTATCAAAGAGTTCAATTGTGAAAAGTCCTATCTTTTTAAGTAGCCGACTACATATTTTCTCTAAACCATTACTAATAATTATTACCGATGAGAGAGTCACATATTTTTCACCGCTCATTAATTTAGTTGCAGATTCCAACGGTTTTAGAATATTACTAACTTCTTCAAAATCGTTGTTTGTCAGCGGATGTAAGTTTTAATGTTCTAGTACTACAAGAGAAGCCCTTGCTTCTTCTTTAAGCTCCAAAATTTTCTCTAACATATAAAAGTAAGAGTTCCAACGTGTCGGAACGGATTGAATTAGTTTTTTGGAAGATTTATTATTTTGTTGTTGAAATGAATCAAGTTTCTCTTTCGCCAAATTGCTGCGCTTGAAAAAGCTAACAATATTCTTTGCTTTGTCTATTAAATCTTCGATTGATTTTAACCCATCTTGTGCTATCAAGTTTATGATGTGTGCTAGACAGCTATAATGTTTCCATTTCAGTTCCCCTAAAATAGCTTTGTTGTAATAATTAAACGATGTAAACGATTTACCTTTATTAAGGCTTTACAGCAGTAATATAAATTAGCATAAAACTATTGAATAAATCAACTTGACAACTAACTGACTGAATATAACAATTTATCAATTTATTTGAAATACAGTGGGTGCCACATATAGTGAATTGAAATAATAAATTCTATAACAAGCTTCTTTAATATTCGCAGCGTTGTCTGATATGGCTAGCAAAATCTTATCTTGTACACCCCATTCAGTAACAATACTTCGTAATTCTCTTGCCAAATTAGCGCTGGTATGTGCTCCTTCAAATACAGAAACTTCTAGCAGTAAACATTTAATTTCAAAATGGGTATTAATAAAATGTCCATTAAAACTATCACCATTTTTCGAAGTCCAAATATCCGTCATAATCGTAACAGATTCGGCTATTGATATGATTTCTTTGGTCTTATTAATGGTTTCTAAATATTTTGCTGGCAATAATGTTTTTGATTGATTTTTTGACTGGGCAAGCAGTAAGATGGGTTAAGCTCATGACAAAATTCTCTAAATCCGATATCTTCGACTATAAAAAATGGTTGAATGTCCTTCACAATTGCAACAATTTGTCATCAATATTTTTTTATAGTAGTCCTAGGGTAACTGCAATTGTAAACGAAGTTCTGCTTCTGTTTTTAATGGTACAGTTGATGGGCCTGGTTCTATATCTTGAGCTTTGTCTTTTGGGTTTGAAATAAAACTGTTTTTTCCGAATCGGTAAATTTTGCGGTTTTTTCGGATTCAATTTCTACATCTGAACTTTTATTTGGCACTGTACTTTGAATTGGGTCCTGAATTCTTAGTGACGGATGTTTTTTTATGATATATAGCCGCAAATTAGTAAGTGATGAATTGTGTGATAGAATCTGGCTATAAAAATTGCACTTGGCTATTGTCTCACTTTTTAGCAGTAAAATGTTCCAAATAACTAATGTTTTTAGTTTAGAATTTATATTAATAATTATTATGTATTTAGCCAGTTAACACTTAAACTCATCAATGGGACTAATAAAACATATACACGCATGAAAACAAAATTTACATTTAAAAACTTCCCTAAATAAAACTATGCGATCTTTTCTATTTCTGATAATTTACCCAAAATAGTTTCATACTAAGTATAAGTGCCGGATTTAGATACATGGTAGCATTATTAGGGCGTCAAAGAATTGGGGTTTCTTGTTCGGAGGTCTTTTATTATTTATTTAAAAAAAAATTTAATCCAAAAATATTACATGATTTATTTTTATAGAAAACGTGCATGAAGTGAACTGAATAGGCCACATTGGATACTTTTACTTAAGTGAATACTTCTATTAATTTATTAAACTCTATATACATACCTAATTTATTTTTCAAATTATTAATATCAGTATATGTATCTATTAGGCAGTTAGAAACTAATCTTTTGCATAAGAGCATGGGTACAGTTTTCAGCTGAGGCCTCTGCCAATACGAACAGTTCAACAAGGGCGCCGCTAGAAAATTGTACAGGGGGGGGGCGACTTACTTAAATTAAGTGCTCAAAACCGAGGTTTTAATGTATTTTTACAAGATGTGTACACAAAAACTAGTGTAGTCACTCATATTTTTTTTTCCGAAAATATGCCTATATCATACAACAGCTTCTCACTTTTGAATATGTTCAAATAATCTTATGTGAAGTAAAAAACAAACAGACCAAAAGGTAAATAGTAGTTTATTCACTAATTTTAAATAAAAAAAATTACTAATTGAAAAAAAACTATTCCATTTCAGTATTTATACAATATTTACTGATTTATTTAAACAAAAACTGCACCCGTCGTTTTTCCATTGAGAAGAAATCAATGGATTTATTTACAAACTCTTCTTTAGTTTTTTTATTAATTCTTTGTGGACAGACATGAGACAAAGGCCACTGAGTCTGTTATGCCCAATCTCCTCATTGTGCTAAAAAAACGGTAAAACTTTAGCTGTCGTTATGTAAGTGGCAGTATGATACACTAATAATCGTAAAATTACAAAAAATTCAAAACCTAAAAATAGAATTTATATAAACTTTAAACAAACTAAAAAAACGCCGGTACATATCATTTAACTAGCCTAAAGTGTTGTGCTTTAATTTTTATAATAAAATGACTTTCATCTTTAGTTTAGCATTACACTACAGTTAATATTAATTAAAATAAATAGTAATTACCTGAAGGATCTTTCAATGGTGCACGTTGTTGGTGGCAAGCATATGGCAATCTGTATTGCTTTGGAAAAACTTGGCAAAAATACCTCATGATTGTGGCCAATAAGGTATGTTAAACACATTTTGCTTAGACTATCTGCAATATCTTTTGCCTAGAGATCATACCACACCAGACCTTCAATTTTGAAGTTGTCAAGAACGTTACTGTATGTGGCAAGAATGAATGAATTTTCGTATTATTTTCTTGTCATCGACTTCATTTTTAAGGGGTGGAGGTTAAACAACTGAAATGATTTTTGGTTCTTAGAAAATCTATCACTTAAAGCTCGGGTAAGGTACGCCAAACATGGTATAAAAAGTGATCGTCTGTAGTAGTCTTCCACACTTTCTGAAGGGACATTAGAGCGGTGACATTGCTTTGTAGTAATGCGAGGCCTGGTCAAAGCGAGACATAAAATTTCTGCAGTTTTGTCAACATTTTTCATTACATCTTTGAACACGCCTTTATCTTTCTCCCAATCATCTTTGAACAAATCAACAAGCCGTTCAATATGTTTTGCCACACGCATCAGATCAATGTTTACACTTTGTAACATTTGTGCTACTACCTCTAGTGTTGCCGAATACTTCGCCACAATCTCTAAACTCACAATGAAAG